GGCTCAAGGCAGGGTACAACATGGTAAGTGAGGTAAAACAATACACTATAAAAATACTTATAGCAAATGCACTTAAATGCTGCTTAAAATTTACCAATAAAATGCAGATTAATATTGACTGGGTAAGCCTACTGGGAGAGAAAGCTCTTAACGTGTGTCTTAGATTAGCCGCTTCCCAGAAGACCTTAGGGTTCAAAGAGGCCATGGATCATGTGGGAAAAGGCCATCCTGCGGGAAACCTGGACCCAAACAATGGAAGGCTTTAAAGATCAAAGCTAAACTGTTTATATCCATAAATGTATACTGTATTTAACCTCCCCCCCCCCTTTTTCAGGAATGTATTTGGTGTATATAATGTATTTATTGCCTAATGTGTATTGTTGCAAATGTTTTATTGCAAATGTATTTTTACCATGTACTGTGGGGAAGGTAAACAGTTTTGTTAGAATTTTGTTAGTTAGGCTTACAGTGTAGAGCTAGGCCTTTGCTTCAGAAGAGGAATGAAAACCTCTTCATTCAGCAAAGCATCTTGGGTCAGGGAGGAATGTAATGAATCCCTTACCTTAGCTAGCTGCCTGATAGCCTAAGGGAGTGGGCCTGGCGAAGCCACGGCATCCATCTTAGAAAAGGGAGACAGGGAGAAGCCATCTTAGGTTAGGTTTGCCTTGAGGGGGCATGTTCAAGTCTAGGAGGGAAAATCAGAAGTCTAGGACTGGCTAGAAAGATGGAGGTGGAGCCTAAGTGGTTTAGAGGGAAAAGTGTCTTTTAAACTGAGGCTTGAGGTCCCAATTTGCCAGTGGGAGTTTGGAACTGTTAGAGAGAAGAAGTGTGGGTGTTAGTCAGAGAGAAGTTTGGGTTTGAAGAAGATTGGGTTAGTCTTTTGTGTAGTATTCAGAATAGCTATTGAGTAGATAGATAGAATACTGTTTTGTGGAGCAGTATCCCATTAGTGGTCTGTTCAATTCCTAAGGAAGTCTAGTTCAGGGTTTTTGGCTAGATTCCTAAGGGGCATTTTTGGGAGTTACTTTCAGAGATTCATTTCCTGAAGTAATTTTCTGTGGTGGAACTTTGAAGACTTGTAACCCAGAAGTTTTTAAGATTTTTGACTCTAACACAACCACAAGCTTTTTATGCCAGTATTTTACTGAAACCATTAAGCATTTGTACCTGAATATTTCAAGCCTGTTCAATAAACATTCTTGTTATTTTCATCAACTTATACCAGCCTCAGTGTGCATACCTTTGTGGTCAAAGAATTCTTGAAGTCAGCTTCACAACAGCCTTTAAGAAACTACAGTGACACAGTGTGTGTTACAGAACAAACTCTCAAATATTTCCTCAGCCTGTTTATTATTAATAGTGAAATGGTGGCAGCGGAAATCTTTTGAAGACTCATTTTAAGACTCTCAGTTCCAGTGGTTCCCAGTTCCTAGCTTTTAAAAGATACAGTTGGTTCAGTAACCACACTCCCTCTACCATTTGTGAGCTTGATTACAATTTTAGCAGAGCAGAGTTGGGATTTATTTTATACATATTTTCCTATCTCTCATACATTAATTAAAATACGCATCTCTTACTACACCTCTCTGTTTTGTTATATTTTTGATGAGCCTTGCAGTGTGGTTTGTTATACACAGCAACAAACCTTTACTTTTGAACACAACCAATCCCAGCTGTTCTCTCTTCCTCTCCATCTCTGTCCGTGATGTCAGAAGGAAATCTCAGCCAAAGAGAAAGCGGATCCTAGGAGGCATGTCTCTTGAGTAGCTAAAGGGGGAAGTGGGTGGTTTGAATAGCTGCCAAACTTTACAAAATGTGCTATACTTTTGTGTATGAGTTATGTCAGTTCTTTTAGTGATCACACTGTTCTGTCATCCTAAAAATGAATAAGGAGCAATAGAATCATAGAATCAAAGAGTTGGAAGAGACCTCATGGGCCATCCAGTCCAACCCCATTCTGCCAAGAAGCAGGAATATTGCATTCAAATCACCCCTGAAAGATGGCCATCCAGCCTCTGTTTAAAAGCTCCAAAGAAGGAGCCTCCACCACACTCCGGGGCAGAGAGTTCCACTGCTGAACGGCTCTCACAGTCAGGAAGTTCTTCCTAATGTTCAGATGGAATCTCCTCTCTTGTAGTTTGAAGCCATTGTTCCGCATCCTAGTCTCCAGGGAAGCAGAAAACAAACTTGTTCCCTGCCCCTTTATAACCTTCTCATATTTATACATGACTATCATGTATCCTCTCAGCTTTTTTTCTTCCAGGCTAAACATGCCAAGCTCCTTAAGCCGCTCCTCATAGGGCTTGTTCTCCAGACCCTTGATCATTTGCCCTCCTCTGGACACATTCCAGCTTAGTGTCAATATCTCTCTTGAATTGTGGTGCCCAGAATTGGACACAATATTCCAGATGTGGTCTAACCAAAGCAGAATAGAGCGTGGGGAGCATGACTTCCCTGGACCTAGACACTATGCGCCTCTTGATACAGGCCAAAATCCCATTGGCTTTTTTTGCTGCCACATCACATTCCTGGCTCATGTTTAACTTGTTGTCCACGAGGACTCCAAGATCTTTTTCACACGTACTGCTCTCAGTCCAGGCATCCCCCCCCATTCTGTATCTTTGCATTTCGTTTTTTCTGCCTAAGTGGAGTATCTTGCATTTGTCCTGTTGAACTTCATTTTGTTAGTTTTGGCCCATCTCTCTAATCTGTCAAGATCGTTTTGAATCCTGCTCCTGTCCTCTGGAGTACTGGCTATCCCTCCCAATTGGTGTCATCTGCAAACTTGATGATCCTGCCTTCTCGCCCTATATGAATAAAAACTTCTGTTATTGCTTCAAACTCAGTCATGTTTTTTCTGGCTTTCAAAATAGCATGGTGTCCTGGATGTTCCTGTAATTAGTCTGGCTGCCATGTTTTACATTGATTTATATAGTCTTACAATTACAATCAGCACTTTAAACGCTACCATTAGTCTGAGTTAGCCCTCAGTGGAGATGAATTTGATATCTCTGATGTAAAGAGACAGAAGCTTCTCCTGTTCGAACTAAAATCTATCCCCAAAACACTGACTCATATAATTGAAATGCTCAGGACACACTCCGATTACAAGGAAAGGAGGCACTAAGCATTGCAGTAACCACAGTACCGGTGCATTAATTTCGAAGGCAAGTGGTACTCAAAATTCTGCAATAAATATACACAGAGAGAAAGGCCAAATCCTATTGCACATGTATGTTGAATAATGGAAGGGAATAGTAAAGCCGTGGAGCATTGCTGAAGGAAATCAAGGAAGAAACACCAGCATGGATGCAGAAGATAACTGCAATGGGGAAAGCATCAAGTGAGCCTGGTTGTTCAGCCAGAGCGATATTCAACGCATAGAGTAGGCTTGGGTAACCACGGAAAAATTTGGTTCTAAACTCGTTTTGTTTTTAGGGGGCCCTTGCGTTTCGTTTTTTTTAATAATTCCGAAATTTTCCTTTAAAAAATTTCAAAATATACGAAATTTTGAAAAATTATGAATCGATTTGTTAATGGCGGACGCGATTACGCAATATGCTAAAAAAAAAACCTCCAAATGGGACAGGGGGAACTTCTGAAGCTTCCCTCTCCCTCTGTTGTTGACTGTTGGTGTGATAAAACAAACAACAACTATAAAACTTGCACCAGACATGTGAAAATAATTACGAAATAATTACGAAATAATTACGAAATAAATTGAAAAAATTGTTTCGAATCTTAATTACCCCTCACACTATTCCTGCATGGCTCAATATTGGATCGTAAGCTAATTTAAATACGAATTAATAACGAATTACGAAATTAACGAACGAAACCGCCCAAGCCTAGCATAGAGGGAAGCGAAGGGACTCACTGGAAATTGGATTTGCAGTTGTTCCCCCCGTAGTTTCCCACACGGATCTGAGCTCCCTGGAGTCTTTCTCCGCAGCAGTCCCCCCGGTTCTTCACCACCACAGTAGCAATGGCATATTCCTCTCCCAGGTCCACGTACCACCAGGGCTCATAGTCACGGTTGGTGTGGGTGCAGGACTTGATGTTGTACCAGTCCCCATTGCAATTCCCATCCACAGCTTTGCTGGCCAAGCCAATATTATGGAGTGGGTAGAGAGAGGACTGGAAGGCTGGGCGGCCTCTGGCCAAGTTACGAACTGGGGGAAGAAGGGCAACAAGATGGAGACAGTGCACTTCTCATCATTTTGGAATCAAGAGACATACACACACATGAATTTTTGTTCTAAGGAGAAAATGGGAATTTGGAGGCATGGGTACACTGGGTCAAAAACAGGGAATCGTTTTTGAATGATTGGGCAGTTGCTACTATGGGTTGTTGTAGGTTTTTCCGGGCTATATGGCCATGTTCTGGAGGCAATTTTTCTCCTGACGTTTCGCCTGCATCTATGGCAAGCATCCTCAGAGGTAGTGAAGTCTGTTGGAAGTAGGAAAAATGGGTTTATATATCTGTGGAATGACCAGGGTGAGACAAAGGACTGTTTGCTGTGGCTAGATGTGAATGTTTCAGTTGCTCACCTTGATTAGCATTCAATGGCTTAGAAGTGCCCGGGGGGAATCCCTTGTTGAGAGTGATTTTTTGTGCCTGTTTGTTTCCCCTCTGTTGTTTTGCTGTTGTGATTTTTGAGTCCTTTAATACTGGTAGCCAGATTTCATTCCACAGATATATAAACCAATTTTTCCTACTTCCAACAGACCTCAATACCTCTGAGGATGCTTGCCATAGATGCAGGCGAAACGTCAGGAGAAAAATTGCCTCCAGAACATGGCCATATAGCCCGGAAAAACCTACAACAACCCAGTGATTCCGGCCATGAAAGCCTTCGACAATAAGTTACTACTATGCTAAACACTTAACAGAACACAATGATGCAATGGGATATCATTGGGATAGGCATTGTGTAACATCCCACCCCCAACCCCAATGTCCCTGAATTTCAGCTCCCAGCAGCCTTACCCACAGAGCCAGTGGAGGAATGCTTGGAGCTGCAGAATGGTAATATCTGGAATACCGGACATTTCCAACCTGCAGAGGATCAGCTCAGACATCCAGGGAAAAAGGGAAATGGACTAAATCTCTGGGAAAATGGTGACACGGTAGCCAAGAGTCAGTGGCCAGTTTGGGCACCACACTTCAAGGACGGTGTCCAGACAGTGGTGACCAAGAGGGCCAGTGGTCTGGAGATCACCAAGCCCTTTTGAGAAAGACCTCCCCTTGCTGTTCTTACAATGGCCTTGCAGCTCCGGCTTGCAGCTCCAAGCCTCTCCGTGTCCAACCAGGATCACCACAGTGGCCAGCAAGCCCATCCAGATCCGGATCATTCTGCCAAAGGAAAGGGAAGTAGAGTTGGAAATCAGAGGGCTCTAGTGTTCCTACTTAACCCCTCAAAGGATCCCCAGATAATGCAAATATTAAACCAAAATGCAAAACCTCATCATGAAATCTGAACAGAATGGCTTGCGTTGAAAAGTTTAGGAAGTGGACATAACAAGAATCAAAGGATTGTTGGATTACAGTTGACTCTGAAGAGCAAGGGGTTCAAATGGTTAATCAGCCAGAAAACCCAAAGGGGTTGTTGCATCCAGGTTCAAGGAACGAGACCCTAAGATTAAATCCACCACACTGGACTGTAGGAAAAGCAATCCTTGTTTATTGATGAAAAATTGGTTACAAAAGAAAGGTAAATGCAAAGTCAAAAAGCCACAGAAAAACACAGCAGTCAGTAGAATCTCTGAACTTGAGCAAAATTTTAAAAGCCACAATACAAGAACCAGGAATCTGTTAGCTTTTTACTAACCATGAACTTGATAAATACAAGCCTCTGGGATTACCGGCCATGAAACACAGGAATTCTGCCAAGGCACAGCCACAATCCCAAACGTTGCTTGACCTAAAGAGGCACCCGGCAGGAGGCCTCTTAAACCAAAGAAGCTATTCTTTGAAACGCCCCTTGACTTTGACGTCTGGGCCTGTCTCTCCTGTAAACGATGTGACCTTCGTAGAAACTGGGAAACATTTCTGTCTCTAACTATCTGTTCTCTTCAGTCCTCATTAAAAACCCCAGGTGGAGAGATATCACGGCTAGTGATATCACGGCTAACTTCCAAAACATTTTCCTCCAGCTGTTGAGTTTCCTTTTCATCCCCGCTGACCTCTGCATCAACAACAGATTCCACACTGTCAGGGTCAGGGAGAGCTTGCTCAGTTGGAAAAACTATCAGAGAATCCGGTTCACACAGATCAGGATCAGGCTGAACCCCAACAGGGGTGACCTGCGCAAGTGTCTCTCTCTCAACCTCCTCAGATGAAGGCCATGCTGGCAAACGTTTTCAGAGTAAGTTCCACCATGAAAACCCAGAGACAGATTCACCCGAGGGCCACCTTGAAATTGATAGGAACTTTAGAAGGGTCCACTCCAGCAGGAGAGACCCTGCCCCCCACCAAAGAGGGATCGCTATGTTGGTGAGCAAAGAGAAGCCTAATTTTGACCAATTTATTTTCCCAAAAAGTTTCCCAAGTTCCCAAAAAGAATATCACCAAAGTTGAAGAAAGTGCCACTGAGATATTTATTAGTGATTCAGCTGAAAAGGATGCAAAGCAGCAATCATTCGCCAAGCTAAGCATACATATACAGAAATAAATGCCATTTTAATAGAAAAACAGAGTGTGGGGTTTGAATCTTCCCCCCTCCCCCCTGCCTGGCTTGAAGGTGATTGGCTGGCACCTCAACAACTGGGAGGAGGCTTGTCTGCCCCTCGAGTGCCTGGGCCAATTACAGGGTTTCTGCCGCCTTGGCACGTCAACGAATCAGGAGGGAGGGAGGTGGGACAAGGGAATACAATGCATTCTTGAATGGATTATGGAGTCACAGGAAATGTCCAGGAGGCCTAATGAGTCCGAACCGGCCTTCAAGAAAAGCCAATCTATTGTCTTGTGATGAGTTTGAGATAAGCATTGATCACTTAATCCAGGTTTTCCTCTTTCAGTCGGATGGGGCACAAAAGGGGGAGACTTTGGTGAATGTCTTTAATGGAAAGGCTTGAAAGAAAACAGGTTGGGGGAAGAGGATTTCCTGAAGATCCTTGTTTCCCCCCATTGTAATGTGATTAAAAAGTCTGCCAAATGATTATCTTCTTGATGGCCTGACTCTGAAGTCAAGAAAATAATTCTTTGTTAAATTTCCATGCAAGAAAGGTTCTGAGAGAAGGGTTTTCACAATCACTAATGGCTTTTTGCAAGGGCAACTTCCTTATTCATTTTCCTCAAGTAGAGGGGAAGAGGGCAAAAGGGTCAGGGCCAGGTCAAATACATGAAGGGAAATATAGAAATACAGGAGAAAATATGAAAATATAGAAATCATAATACATAGAGTAAACCCAACTACCCTCCCCCACTGTCCCCCATAGGAAGGTCCATAAAGGGAAATCTATCCCTGAGGGGGAAAGAGAGTCCCTTGTTTGTGAGATGTGGGACCATCAGGAGGCCAGGTGGGTCTCAGATGGAAACACTCAAATACTTTTGTGGCATGATTTTCAGTAATAAATTGGTCACCTTCTGTTGTAAACATATGAAAATAGGGCATAAAGCCTTGATTAAGTGATATACACCAAATTGACCAAGGCTTAACCCTTATTATCCAGCCTGGTGTCCTTGCCGTTAGCAAAACTATAAGTTACTATCTCTTATAGGGTGGGGGGGGGGGTCATGTTCGACTTCAACCTGAGGGTCAGAAATGGCTTGAAGGCAAAGGAAACAGCATAGGGACCAATGGTTGTGAGATTCAAGGAGGCATATTTCAGATTATCGTTGCAAATGTCCTAAACAGCCACGAAACATTTCTTCAGGTGGATGCATTTTCCTAAGGCAGTGTTTCTCAACCTGGGGGTCGGGACCCCTGGGAGGGTCACGAGAGGGTGTCCGAGGGTTTGCCGAAGACCATCAGAAAACACTCTTGGTCATCTGGGTTACGTGTGGAAAGTTAGATCCAATTCTATTGTTGGTGGGGTTCAGAATGCTCTTTGGTTGTAGGTGAACTATAAATCCCAGCAACTACAACTCCCAAATGCCAAGGTCTATTTCCCCCAAACTCCACTAGTGTTCACATTTGGGCATATTGAGTATTTGTGCCAAACTTGGTCCTGATCCATCATTGTTTGAGTCCACAGACGTAGATGAACTACAGCTCCCAAACTCAAGATCCGTGCCCACCAAACCCTGCTAGTGTTTTCTGATGGCCATGCGAGTCCTGTGTGCCAAGACTGGTTCAGTTCCATCATTGGTGGAGATCAGAATGCTCTTTGATTGTAGGTGAACTATAAATCCCAGCAAGTACAACTCTCAAATGATAAAACCAGTCCCTCCCCCCAACCCCACTAGTATTCAAATTTGGGCATATTGGGTATTTGTGCCAAATTTGGTCCAGTGAATGAAAATACATCCTCTTATGACGATTCATAACAGCAGCAAAATTACAGTTGTGAAGTAGCAACAAAAATAATATTATGGTTGGGGGTCACCACAACATGAGGAACTGTATCAAGGGGTCGCGGCATTAGGAAGGTTGAGAACCACAGGCATCAAATACACCTTCCCTGGAGGTGCTCCTCACACTTCCTGGGCTCTTGAGGCCTTCTAAAGAGAGGTGGGAGTTTTGGATTTTGAGATGACAGAATCATAGAGTTGGAAAGGATCACAAAGGCCATCTAGCCTGCCATCTTCCTGCCATGAGGAAGACACAATCCGAGCCCTCCCAATAGATGACCAATAGGATGAAACTCACCTTGAGACAAGAGATGTTGGTGGCCCTTCTTGGTGAACTGGCAAACAGGACTTCTTGTCTTTCAACTAGGGGAGGAAAAACAGAGTTAAATAAATCAGTACAACTACAAATACAGAAGAATGACATCTTCCTTAATGACCACTTAATCTACCACCTAAAGTCTGAATTAGGAGCCCCCGGTGATGCAGTGGGTTAACCGCTGAGCTGCTGAACTCGTTAACTGAAAGGTTGAAGGTTCTAATCCGGGGAGCGAGGTGAGCTCCCGCTATTAGCCTCAGCATCTGCCAAGCTAGCAGTTTGAAAAGCAGTTTGAAAAATGTGAGTAGATCAATAGGTACCACTCCTGCAGGAAGGTAACAGCGCTCCATGCAGCCATGCCAGCCACATGACCTTGGAGGTATCTATGGACAACGCACCAACCCCCAGAGTTGGACACAACTGGACTTACAGCTTACATTCATCAATCAAGGGGCCTACTTTGACTTGTCAGGAGGGAGGAGGGATAGGCTCCTTACTTAGCTATAGCCTGGGCTATGTTGTACCAGTCTCTGTATCTGGAATGTATAGATAACAGGTCCCCCTCTTCTCCCCCTTTCAACAATCCTTCTCTGTCCTGCTGGCTTCCTTACACAGAGAGAACCTGATTTTTCTATACATTCCAGTTCTTGTAAAGTACATACAATATATGCATAAATAAATATCTGTTTTTCCAATATCTCCCCATCAGATCAATAGGTACCACTCCTGCAGGAAAGTAACAGCGTTCCATGCAGCCATGCCAGCCATGCCTTGGAGGTGTCTATGGACAACGCCGGCTCTTCAGCTTGGAAATGGAGATGAGCATCAACCCCCCAGAGTTGGACACAACTGGACTTAATGTCAGGGGAAAACTTTCCCCCATTACTAGAGTCTGAATTATAAATCCATCCCTTTGATGTTTAAAGTACAAACACAAGAGTTCGTTCAATGTAGTCATGCCACTTTACAGTATTTATTTATTTATTTATTTATTTAGCAATTTTGTATACCGGTCTTCTTCTCCCCTCTATCGGGGGACTCGGGCCGGTTTCCAACAATCAAATCACAAAACAATCATTAAAAACATCATATGACATATTCAATTAAAACGTTATAATAGCAAAATGCAATCACATAATAACAATGGTCAGTCGTCATAGCGAATTCGTTGTCCATCATTCATCGTCATCTATCCGATCACAGAAATATTGATTCACTCGTCGAAAGCCAAACCCCATAGCCAGGTTTTCACCCGTTTTCTGAACGACAGAATGGAGGGGGCAGTTCTGATCTCCAGTGGGAGAGAGTTCCAGAGTCGAGGGGCCACCACTGAGAAGGCCTTGTCCCTCATCCCCACCAGACGCGCCTGAGAGGCCGGTGGGAAATTTTTTTCAGGGGGGGTTTCGGGGGTTTGGTTGGGGGGGGGCTGAGTCTGAGTAAAAGAGGGTCTAGCCTAGCAAACCTTTTGTATCATTACCCCAATACCCCCATGCATATGGGATATATTGAGTATGGTGATCAGATCATGATATGAATAAACATAACAGTTTAAATAATGCACCAGTAAGACCTTTTCGCGAACCACCATGAGAATTTCGGGGGGGGGGCTGAAGCCCCTCAAGCCCCCCCCCCCCCGGCTACATGCCTGGCCCTGTCCCTCATCCCCACCAGACGTAGAAAAGTAGAAAAGACCTTCCAGAGAAAGCAGGATGGAACGATAGAAAGATCCAGCAGCAAAGGAGAAAGAAGGAATACTTACCAGACCAAAACGGAAGATGTGATCTTAGAAATGGAAGGCTCCGAGGAAGCCCAGCACGATGCCTATCGCTTTCTCTGCAGCACCTTTTAAAGACCTCTGGACTACACCTTGCAGGATGCACACAGCTCCTAAGAAGGCGTGCAAAGTTATACAATCTAGCCGAGGGAGGGGAGTTCCCATGCTTGAGCAGGAAGCACATCTCTTTGCTTATCATTTTGTGGTCACTTTTTTGTCCCTTTGCTTTGACCGACCACACTTTTCTCTAGAAAGATTCAGCCAAGTGTTGACACTGTTTGTCAAAGTAACCGCAAACTGACCTCACACCACAATCTTACTTCCAAAGAGTTGCACTTCCCTTTATGGAAGCAGAGCTTTCCAATCTGTGTATAGGAACACACCAGTATGTTTCCTATAGGCCAGTGTTTCTCAACCTTCCTAATGCCGCGACCCCCTAATACAGTTCCTCATGTTGTGGTGACCCCCAACCATAACCCTAACATTATGAATCGCCATGTAAATAATGATCTGCAAGATGTATTTTCATTCACTGGAGCAAATTTGGCACAAGTACCCAGTATGCCCAAATTTGAATACTAGTGGGGTTGGGGGGGGGGATTGATTTCGCCATTTGGGCGTTGTAGTTGCTGGGATTTATAGCTAACCTATAAACAAAGAGCATTCTGAACCCCACCAACAATGGAATTGAACCAGCAGAAAATACTGGAAGGGTTTGGTGGGCATTGACCTTGAGTTTTGGAGTTGTAGTTCACCTATATCCAGAGAGCACTGTGGACTCAAACAATGATGGATCTGGACCAAGCTTGGCAGGATACTCAATATGCCCAAATGTGAACACTGGTGGAGTTTGAGGAAAATAGACCTTGACATTTGGGAGTTGTAGTTGCTGGGATTTATAGTTCACCTACAATCAAAGAGCTTCTGAACCCCACCAACGTCCCACACAGAACCCCCATGACCAACATAAAATACTGTGTTTTCTGATGGTCTTTGGCGACCCCTCTGACACCCCCTCGCGACCCCTCCAGGGGTCCCGACCCCCAGGTTGAGATAGATGTCCTTGTTTGTTTCCTCTCTGTTGTTGTGCTGTTGTAATTTTGGAGTTTTTTAATACTGGTAGCCAGATTTTGTTCATTTTCATGGTTTCTTCCTTTCTGTTGAAATTGTCCACATGCTTGTGGATTTCAATGGCTTCTCTATGTAGTCTGACATGGTGGTTGTGAAATGAAAATGAACAAAATCTGGCTACCAGTATTAAAAAACTCAAAAATTACAGCAGCAAAACAACAGAGGGGAAACAAACAGGCACATGAAATCACTCTCAACAAAAGATTCCCCCCAGGCGCTTCCAAGCCATTGAATGCTAATCAAGGTGATCAGCTGAAACATTCACAGCTAGCCCCAGCAGACAAAAGTCCTTTGTCCCACCCTGGTCATTCCACAGATATATAAACCCATTTTTCCTACTTCCAACAGACCTCACTACCTCTGAGGATGCTTGCCATAGATGCAGGCGAAACGTCAGGAGAAAAATTACCTCCAGAACATGGCCATATAGCCCGGAAAAACCTACAACAACCCAGTCTCTTCTCAATACTCTCTACATTCTCAGTCTCTTCTCTACAACACACAGTGCTTAGTCCCAATTTGTAGCATCTAATCTATCACAGGTGGCTTAACAGTTGCTCTTCATGCAATGCTTGGACATGGTCCTTACAAATACTTACTCACTTTTTCACTTAAGAAATGACTCAATTAGAATCATAGAATCAAAGAATTAAAGAGTTGGAAGAGACCTCATTGGCAATCATCCAGTCCAACCCCATTCTGCCAAAAAGCAGGAATATTGCATTCAAATCACCCCTGACAGATGGCCATCCAGCCTCTGTTTAAAAGCTTCCAAAGAAGGCGCCTCCACCACACTCCGGGGCAGAGAGTTCCACTGCTGAACGGCTCTCACAGTCAGGAAGTTCTTCCTCATGTTCAGATGGAATCTCCTCTCTTGTAGTTTGAAGCCACTGCTCCCTTGCGTCCTAGTCTCCAGGGCAGCAGAAAGGAAGCTTGCTCCCTTTTCCCTATGACTTCCCCTCACATATTTATACATTGTTATGATGTCTCCTCTCAGCCTTCTCTTCCTCAGGCTAAACATGCCCAGCTCCTTAAGCCGCTCCTCATAGGGCTTGTTCTCAAAACCCTATTCTGACAAGAGATAGTAACTTATAGTTTTGCTAAGGGCAAGGACGCCAGGCTGGATAATAAGGGTTAAGCCTTGGTCAATTTGGTGTGTATCATTTAATCAAGGCTTTATGCTCTATTTTCATATGTTTACAGCAGAAAGTAACCAATTTATTACTGAAAATCATGCCACAAAAGTATTTGAATTTTTCCATCTGAGGCACACCTGGGCTCCTGATGGTCCCCCATCTCACAAACAAGGGACTCTCTTTCCCCCTCGTGGATATATTTCCCTTTATGGACACTGGGGGAAGGTAGTTGGGTTTACTCTCTGTATTATGATTTCTATATTTTCATATTTTCTCCTGTATTTCTATATTTCCCCTCATGTTTCCTGACCTTGCCCTGAACCCTTTGCCCCCTTCCCCTCTCCTTGGGGGAAATCTACAAGGAAGCTGCCCTGCCTCTGGAAAAGCCATCAGCGATCATGAAAAGACCCTTATCTTTGGACATAGAGAGAAACATGCCAAGCGGAAGACATGTCAAGCTAACTCTGACCGGGATCACCTTCCACCTGGAAACCGATGCCCTCACTGCGGGAGAACATGCAGGTCAAGAACAGGGCTCCACAGTCACCCATGGAGCCATTGCCAGGAGACCTATCTTAGAAGATTATCCTACTCAGACAACAAGGGATTGCCTAAGAAGTAAGTACCCCAGGTCTCGGTGGTGGTCAGGGGAGCTTTTGCACAATTAAAACTTGTGCGCCAGCTGCGCCCGTACCTTGGGAAGTTTGACTTGGCCACGGTAGTCCACACTCTGGTTAGATCCCGTTTAGACTACTGCAACGCTCTGTACATGGGGTTGCCCCTGAAGACTGCCCGGAAGCTTCAATCAGTCCAACGTGCGGCAGCCAGATTGCTAACGGGAGCGGGGTACAGAGACCATACGACCCCTCTGTTATGCCAGCTCCACTGGCTGCCGATCAGCTTCCGTGCACAATTCAAAGTGCTGGTTTTGACCTATAAAGCCCTAAACGGCTCTGGCCCAGTTTACCTGTCCGAACGGATTCTCCCCTATGAACCATCAAGGCTATTAAGATCTTCCGGGGGGGGCCCTGCTCTCGGTCCCACCACCCTCGCAATCGTGGTTGGTGGGGACGAGGGACAGGGCCTTCTCGGTGGTGACTCCCCGGCTTTGGAACTTCCTCCCACTAGAGATCAGATCTGCCCCCTCCCTCCTGACGTTCAGGAAATTACTAAAAACCTGGCTCTGGAATGTGGCATTCGAGGACTGAACCTAGAACCTCTCCCTGTGATGAATTATGATGAACTGTGACTACGAGTATGACTATGACTATGACTGGATTGACGATTTGGCTTAGGAAATTGTAATGATGATGTTTCTATTGTACTGTATTGTACTATTTTAATATGTAATGACTTTGCACTTGTTGTTCTTATATATGATTGTATTTTATATATGCTGTAAACCGACCTGAGTCCCTTGCTGAGGTTGAGAAGGCCGGTATAGAAATCCTCTAAATAAATAAATAAATAAGTAAATGTATATGATTTTTGTATGATTTATATGTGTTTCTGTGCAAAACATGAGGCAAGGTGACCTTTTTATGAACTCTGGCCAGCATTTCCTGACCCAGGTGCCACAGGCCACTCTGGGTCTTCACTTTGTTGAATGAACTCTCAAGCATTTCACAATACAGACAATGGCTTGATGGCTTGATGGCCCCTTTTTCTTAATCCGTGGAGGATCAGGCCACTTAAGAATTGGGTAACCCTTTGGACACTTTAATATTTCTTCACAAAGGACATTTCCCCACCCACGAGGAGGAGAAGGGGATGTTGCAGTTTCGCCAACAATGACTTTCCCTTTCCCAGAAGAATGGATCCACAGATCCCATCCAGAAACCAGTATCACTGCACTTTTTTGGACAATGGGCTGGCTCTGAGGGGCCAGACAGAAATGTTGTTTCAAACCTCTGTGTCAATAGCTAGGTCGGGCTTGAGGGCTCACAGCATAGAATCATAGAATCAAAGAGTTGGAAGAGACCTCCTGGGCCATCCAGTCCAACCCCATTCTGCCAAGAAGCAGGAATATTGCATTCAAATCACCCCTGACAGATGGCCATCCAGCCTCTGTTTAAAAGCTTCCAAAGAAGGAGCCTCCACCGCACTCCGGGGCAGAGAGTTCCACTGCTGAACAGCTCTCACAGTCTGGAAGTTCTTCCTCATGCTCAGATGGAATCTCCTCTCTTGTAGTTTGAAGCCATTGTTCCGCGTCCTAGACTCCAAGGAAGCAGAATATTAGCGATGACCGCATTTGTTTCTAAGTGTTTGCAGACCACTTCCTTAACAATTTTTTCCAGAATCTTGCCTGGTGTCAATGTGAGACTGACTGGACGGTAATTGTTTGGGTCATCCTTTTGTCCCTTCTTGAAGATTGGGACCACACTGGCCCTCCTCCAATCTGCTGGAACTTCTCCCGTTCTCTGAGAACTCTCAAAGATGGTTGCCAATGGTTCCGAAATGACTTCCGGTAGTTCCTTCAATACTCTTGGGTGTAGTTGATCTGGCCCTGGGGACTTGAACTCATTTAGAGCGACCAGGTATTCCTGGATGACTTGTTTCCCAATTTGGGGTTGGAGATCCTCCAATCCCTTATCCACTCCATCTTGCTGAGGTTGAAGATGACCTTCTTTTTGTGAGAAGACCGAGGCAAAGAAGGCATTAAGTAGTTCTGCCTTTTCCCTATCCCCTGTCAGCATTGTCCCATCTTCTCCTCATCTGCCCCATCTTCTCACCTATATTGCCTATCAATAGGGTCCAGTATGGGCCACTCACCATCCCATCATCAAACAACTATTTTTCCTTTATTTCTACTGTTGCCAAGCTTCCTTGCACACCATTGGCTGAGCGGCCGAAACGGGGCTCACACTCTCATTGGATGAGCTGCACCAGCCCCCAGTTGCTCCTCCTGGCTCGCTGATGTCAGAACCAATCACAGCAAAGCTGGCTCAAAGGGCAGGCCCAGGAAATTTGAATTGGAAAATCTGTATATATTGTCTAGTTTTCTGCATTGGTGCATGCCGGCTTCTTTAGCAGAATACTGCAGCTGTCATCCTTTTCCAGCTGGAACAAAAATAAATACCTCGGTGCTTCATCTTGGTGAGATCTATTCTGTAATACTTCTTTTTCTCACCAAGCTAAACCCAAAGTGGCTTGGATCTCACTATCCACAGCCTTGACAAAATCAGTGCTCTCTGGGCAAGGGCCCTGAGTGTAAACAAAGGTTTTCTGCTTTCCAAGTGAGTGAACTGGAGGGGAGACCATGTGAAATCGAAGCATTCGAATATGCAAATAAACCAAGAAAGGGGTTGGCAAGAATACAAAAGGAAAAGAAGTGGCAAGGAGGAAGCAATAGACAAGCAGGCATAATTTGGTTTTAGGGTGCTTCCTTTCACTATTTGCTAAAAGCTGATAAGGTGAGATAAGGCTCAGTAAACCTGTTTGACTTTGGAAGACTATGTAAGCCAAGAGGAGGACCAAGAATTGGAATTGCAGCACAACGTCGCAGAAGTGGCTTTCTCAGTGAAAGTGGAGTCCAGAGGAATTTAAAAGGCCCAGAAAGCAATGTGTCTCATTTTGGGATACCTGGGGCAACGTCCTGGAGGTCCCATTTCTAGCAATGTATCTTCCATATTGAAATGGTAAGTATTCCATCTTTGGCCAGCCAATGCACTTTGCTCCCTTTTTTCTCTCTCTTCTCTGGGTCCAAAAGAGGTGGTTCTTTTCGTTCAAACTCCTGCTTGGAAAATGAAGAGTGTGTGCAACAAGTGTGGTCCAGATCCCCCTCAATGGACTGTCACCTTGTCATGGTGAGGGGGCTTGCGAGTTCCAATGAATCTGTGGGCTCAACAACTGGAGTTGTACACTCCCAGGAGTGGCCGCAGGGGAGGTTCCAGACCAAGCACAATCTGAAGACCCAAAGACCACAATGGTGGAGCAGGTGGAGGATAACATGGTACATGTTACAATGGCTGTGAAGGTGGAAGAAGGCTGCAATAGATGATAGAATCAAAGAGTTGGAAGAGACCTCATGGGCCATCCAGTCCAACACCCTGCCAAGAAGCAGGAATATTGCATTTAAATCACCCCTGACAGATGGCCATCCAGCCTCTGTTTAAAAGCTTCCAAAGAAGGAGCCTCCACCACACTCCAGGGCAGAGAGTTCCACTGCTGAACGGCTCTCACAGTCAGGAAGTTCTTCCTCATGTTCAGGTGGAATCTCCTTTCTTGTAGTTTGAAGCCATTGTTTTGCGTCCTAGTCTCCAGGGAAGCAGAAAACAAGCTTCCTCTCACATGTGGCTTCCTCTCACATATTTATACATGGCTATCATATCTCCTCTCAGCCTTCTCTTCTTCAGGCTAAACATGCCCAACTCCTTAAGCCGCTCCTCATAGGGCTTGTTCTCCAGACCCTTGATCATTTTAATCGCCCTCCTCTGGACACATTCCAGCTTGTCAACATCTCTCTTGAATTGTGGTGCCCAGAATTGGACACAATATTCCAGGTGTGGTCTAACCAAAGTGGAATAGAGCATGGGGAGCATGACTTCCCTGGATCTAGACACTATGCTCCTATTGATGCAAGCCAAAATCCCATTGGCTTTTTTTGCCACCACATCACATTGTTGGCTCATGTTTAACTTGTTGTCCACGAGGACTCCAAGATCTTTTTCACATGTACTGCTCTTGAGCCAGGCATCATCGTCCCCCATTCTGTCTCTTTGCATTTTATTTTTCCTACCAAAGTGGAGTATCTTGCATTTGTCCCTGTTGAACTTCATTTTGTTAGTTCTGGCCCATCATCTCTCTAATCTGTCAAGATCATTTTGAATCCTGCTCCTGTCCTCTGGAGTATTGGCTCTCCCTCCCCATTTGGTGTCGTCTGCAAACTTGATGATCATGCCTTCTTGCCCTTCATCTAAGTCATTAATAAAGATGTTGAAGGCACAGTTGTCATGTTAACCATGCCACTAGATGGGACCTCACTCTGTGAAGACTGTGTGTTGACTGGCTGTGCACCGACCTCCACACATTAAAAAAGCTCACGCACAGGCATCTTCCAAGATAGGCTCAAAGCCAACCTTAAAAACTGTGGCATAGACATCGAGATCCAGGAAGCCCTGACCCTTGAGCGCTCTAGTTGGAGGTCAGCTGTGACCAGCAGTGCTGTAGAATTTGAAGAGGCATGAATGGAGGGAGAAACATGCCAAGAGGAAGGCATGTCAAGCCAACCCCACCAGGACCACTTTCCACCTGGAAACCAATGCCCTCACTGTGGGAGAACATGCAGATCAAGAACTGGGCTCTACAGTCATCTATGTACTCACTGCCAGGACACCGATCTTGGAAGACAATCCTAGTCAGACAACGAGGGATCGCCTAAGTAAATAAGATCCAGATCCACTAAGCTGATATAGAAGGCTTTGGGCTATAAACGGACATAGATACTTACATTTTTTGTGTGCATGCCCCCTTTTAAATCTTAGCACTAGAGTCTACACTTAACCCCCTTCCCTTTGCAATGACTTTGATGCTGAACATGACCCCCCCCCCCCATAAAAGATAGTTTATAATCAGGGAATTCATAGTTTTGCCAAGGACGCCAGGCTGATACTAGACTAAAACATATCCTACCAAAACACCCACATATAGTCTTTTCACATCTCAAGCCCTGCTCTGTTTCTTTCTTTTCTGTCTTTTCCATTCCATAACTACTAGTCCATAATCCCCATGTAGGAACCTATCCAGCCTCTGCTTAAAAGCCTCCAAAGAAGGAGCCTCCCTCCGGGGCAGAGAGTTCCACTGCTGAACAGCTCTAACAGTCAGGAAGTTCTTCCTCTTATTCAGGTGGGATCTCTTTTCCTAAAGTTTGTCCTATTGCGCCCTAGTCTCCAGGGCAGCAGAAAACAATCTTGCTCTCTCCTCCTAATGGCGAGCCAGCCAGGGGCCCCTGCTTTGAAGCTGATCTGAACTGCAGCAGGGAGTTCCGCAGTTCTCCATTGCCCGCTTGGGCCAGCATCCAAGGGAATGTGGCCACAGCAGCAGCTTCAACCAAAGACTCTCCTTCTGCTTTGCTTTCTTCCCCTACCTAACACTGTAACAAATCCCCCCAATAAAGGATCAATTAATTGTAACTTTTCCCTCTCTATAGTGTTACTTTGTGTCCTTTACTGCTTCCAAAGCATTCTCTGCATGAAATCGCATCCCAGGCGGGCTGGCAGCCATCTGCAGCCCGGGAGAGAGAAAGTTCATGCAGAATGTGGCTGCTGTGGCCACATTCCCTTGGATGCTGGCCCAAGCGGGTAATGGAGAACTGCGGAACTCCCTGCTGCAGTTCAGATCAGCCTAGTGCTTTGATTCTATTAGGGAGCCTAGCCAAAAACAGGACTGAAAAGGAGATGGGGTTTTCCTAAATTGCACACCCCTAATCCTTTGTAAGTTCTTGCCTTGGACAACTCCCAATTTCAGGTCACACTTACTGGGCCACTGATGAAGGTTCAGACAATCCCCCTTTTAAAGTAAATTCTCAATTCTTGTTGTGGTATTTGCTTACAACTCATTTTTGTGGTGACATGTGAACTATAAGCAAATACCACATAACTAAAATACAAAGATCAGTAAGAGGCCAGACTAACAAAGCTGGATCAGAGGAAGTTTATTGCTCACAATCATGGATTTCACCATCTGCACGGGTGAACTCTTTTAGCACTGACTGTACTCCTTGGTGCCATAGACTTCCACCTCGCAGACATGGAGCCATTCTCTTCGGTTAGGGATGATGATGCTCACGTAGCGGCCCTTGAACCCATAGCAGCTGATGGTGCTGATGGAGCCTGCACGGGTGTCTGTGATGGTCCCACAGCTGCAGGGAGAGGACGGAGGAGGGAAATCAGGAGGAAGAAATCATTAATGGACTACATGACCAAGTAGAAGGGAAAGAATGCAGTGGAGAGAGATATAAAAGAGCTAAAAGGGTGATGGAGTCATTTGAGGAAGAAGAATTTGAAGATGAGCCTCCAGTGTTGGAAAGCAAAGCAGAAACTGCACTCTGTATGGAATAATCGCTTCCCAGAAGACCTCAGGGTTCAAAGGGGCCATGGATCATGTGGGAAAAGGCCATCCTGCACGGAACCTGGACCCAAACTATGGAAGACTTTAAAGAGCAAAGCCAACATGTTCATCTGAACATGAGGAAGAACTTCCTGAGCTGTTCAGCAGTGGAACTCTCTGCCCCGGAGTGTGGTGGAGGCTCCTTCTTTGGAAGCTTTTAAACAGAGGCTGGATGGCCATCTGTCAGGGGTGATTTGAATGCAATATTCCTGCTTCTTGGCAGAATGGGGTTGGACTGGATGGCCCAGGAGGTCTCTTCCAACTCTTTGATTCTATGATTCTATGATTCTATGTTATTGAAAAATCTACCCCCCCTTCTAATATTAATTATAAAATTATAACATATTTATTATTATTTATTACTATTATTAACTTTATTTGTACTCCGCTAGCATCTCCCGAAGGACTCAATGCAGCCTGCAAAGGCCAAAGCCTCAAAACACAACATAACAAAACCTAAAGCAAATTAAAAACAATTAAAGCAGTATTAAACAACAAAACAGCAAACAATAAACAATAAACCAAAACACAATAAAAACTGGGCCTGGCCAGAGTAATGGGTACAAGATTAAAAGTGCTGATGTGACAGGTGGTATATAAGGCTTATAGGGCAAGTGCAGTGTGCAGTGTGCAGCAATCTTAGTTCTAATAAAGTGCTTCTGGGACTTGGTATTGGAGATTTCCTATTCTGGGAAGGCACATCGGAACAGCCAGGTCTTCAAGTTCTTTCTAAAGACTGCCAATGTAGGGGCCTGTCTAAGATCTTTGGGGAGGGTGTTCCAGAGTCGGGGGGCCACCACAGAAAAGGCCCTGTCTCGAGTCCCCACCAAACGCGCTTGCGAAGCAGGTGGGATCACAAGCAGGGCTTCTCCAGATGACCGAAGTGAACGCATGGGTTTGTAAATGGAGATGCGGTCACTCAGGTAGGCAGGTCCCAAACCGTTCAGGGCTTTGTAGGTCAGCACCTGCACCTTAAATTGGGCTCGGAAAATAAACGGCAGCCAGTGGAGCTCCTTGAACAGGAGGGTTGACCTCTCTCTGTAAGGGGCACCAGTTAACATCCTGGCCGCTGCCCGTTGGACCAGTTGGAATTTCCGAGCCATTTTCAAGGGCAGCCCCACGTAGAGCGCATTACAGTAGTCCAATCTAGAGGTGACCAAGGCATGGACCACCCCGGCCAGATCAGCCTTCGCGAGGTACGGTCGCAGTTGGCGCACAAGTCTCAATTGTGCAAAAGCCCTCCTGGACACCGCCGACACCTGAGCCTCAAGCGTGAGCGATGAATCCAAGAGGACTCCCAAACTGCGGACCTGTGGCTTCAGGGGGAGTGTAGCCCCGTCCAACACAGGTTGCCACCCTATACCCCGGTCAGGTTTACGATTTACCAGGAGGACTTCTGTCTTGTCAGGATTGATCTTCAGCCTGTTCCTCCTCATCCAGATGGACACAGCGGCCAGGCACTCGTCCAGGACCCGGGAGGCCTCCTTGGAGTTGGGTGGAAATGAGTAATAGAGTTGTGTGTCATCTGCATAGAGGTGGCACCTAACTCCAAAACTCCGGATGACCTCTCGCAGCGGTTTCATGTAGATGTTAAAGAGCATGGGAGACAAAATAGAGCCTTGCGGGACCCCACAGGTCAAAGGCCAGGGGTCCGAGCAGTTTGGCTGGGATTCAGTCAAGCTCAGCCCCAGCCCAGCCCCAAACATTCCTGGGAGGATTAATTTAATCATTTACCAAGCCTAAATCTGGTTTAGCAAGAAATCCCTCAGGCCAGAGGGAATGCCCATCCAAAGAAGACCATGGCCTCACACCCTTTATAGAGGTTTGCATTGACAAAACATTTTAGAGTTTCGTCTGTGTCTTGATTCAGGCTTATGCTTTATTAATAAACAGAGAGGGGTGAAGACACACATACATACAGAAAAACTGGATTACAACCGTAGACATATCCCTGGACACCTGAGGAAAATTGATATACTTGATATACTTGGGAAACTGTTGGTGGGTTGAAAATTCACAGAAAGTGTGAATGGGAATCCAATACCTCAGAATTGACCTTTTACTCACCTCTCGGGCTCCACCTTCTCAGCCTTAAGATAAATTTTTAAATTGTATAATTCTCTTAACCTGTTCTGTCCCAGGAAACACCTACACATGCATATGTGTGTGTGTGTGTATGTATATATTTCAATCAGCCTAAGAGAAGGCAGATTCTAGGAGGCACGTCTCCTGATCAACCAAGGAAGGAAGTGGGAGGTTTGAATAGCTGCCAAACTTTACAAAATGTGCTGCACTTTTGTGTATGAGTTATGTCAGTTCTTTTGGTGATTACACTCTTCTGTCATCCATCTGGCCAGATGAATAAAACTTCTGTTATAGCGTCAAACAATGGCTTCAAACTACAAGAAAGGAGATTCCATCTGAACATTAGAAAGAACTTCCTGATTGTGAGAGGTGTTCAGCAGTGGAACTCTCTGCCCCGGAGTGTGGTGGAGGCTTCTTCATTGGAAGCTTTTAAACAGAGGCTGGATGGCCATCTGTCGGAGGTGCTTTGAATGTAATATTCCTGCTTCTTGGCAGAATGGGGTTGGACTGGATGACCCACCAGGTCTCTTCCAACTCTATGATTCTATGATTCTATGCTTGCAGTAACCACAGTACCGGTCCATTAATTTCCCTTGCAAAGCAAGTGGTGCTCAAAATTCTACAGTAAATATACACAGAGAGAAATGCCAAATCTTATTGCACATGCATATTGAAGAATGGAAGGAAGTACTAAAGGGAATAGCAAAGCCTTGGAGCATTGCTGAATCAAGAAACAATATCATACGAAAGCTGACTGGCACAACCTGGGGATCACAACCAGACACAGTGAAGACATCTGCCCTTGCGCTATGCTACTCTGCTGCTGAGTACGCATGCCCAGTGTGGAACACATCTCACCACGCTAAAACAGTAGATGTGACATGCCGTATTATCACGGGGTGTTTGGGGGTGTCTGCGCCCTACACCACTGGAGAAATTACACTGCTTAGCCGGTATTGCACCACCTGACATACTCGGGAAGTAGCAGTCAATAGTGAGAGGACCAAGGCAGAGACAACTCCAGCTCATCCTGTTTGGGTATGAGTCAGCACGTCAACGACTTAAATCAAGACATAGTTTTCTAAGATCTACAGAGACACTCGCTGGAACACCCCATCAAGCGAGAGTCCAAAAGTGGCAGGCTCAAACTCAGAACCTCAACCAATGGCTGATACCAGATGAGAGACTCCCCCTGGGCACACAGAAGACTGGGCGACTTGGAAGGCGCTGAACAGACTGCGCTCTGGCACCACGAGATGCAGAGCCAACCTCAAGAAATGGGGCCACAAAGTGGAATCCACGACATGCGAGTGTGGAGAAGAGCAAACCACTGACCACCTGCTGCAATGCAACCTGAGCCCTGCCACATGTTAAATGGAGGACCTCCTTGCGGCAACACCAGAGGCACTCCAAGGGGCCAGAGACTGGTCAAAGGACATTTAATCAGCTACCAAGTTTGCAAATTTTGTGTTTTGTCTGTTTGTTTGTTTTGTTCTTTTAGAAATGTAATACAATTGACTAGTTGCCCTGACACAACAAATAAAAAAATTGCTGAAGGAAATCAAGGAAGAAACACCAGCATGAATGCAGAAGAGAACTACAATGGGGAAAGCATCGAGTGAGCCTGGTTGTTCAGCCAGAGCGATATTCAACGCATAGAGGGAAGCGAAGGGACTCACTGGAAATTGGATTTGCAGTTGTTCCCCCCGTAGTTTCCCACACGGCTCTGAGCTCCCCGGAGTCTTTCTCCGCAGCAGTCCCCCCGGTTCTTCACCACCACAGCAGCAATGGCATACTCCTCTCCCAGGTCCACGTACCACCAGGGCTCATAGTCATCGTGGGTATGGGAGCAGGACTTGCCGTGGTACAAGTTCCCATTTCAATTCCCATCCACAGCTTTGCTGGCCAAGTAATCCCAAAGGAGAGAGGACTGGAAGGCTGGACGGCCTCTGGCCAAGTTACGAACTGGGGGAAGAAGGGCAACAAGATGGAGACAATGCACTTCTCATCATTTTGGAACCAAGAGACATACACACCTATGAACTTTTGTTCTAAGGAGGAAATGGGGATTTGGAGGCATGGGTACACTGGGTTACAAACAGGCAATCATTTTTGAAGTTATTTTGTCAGTCTGCCAGATTATTATTATTATTATTATTATTATTATTATTATTATTAATGCACTTGTATACCGCTAATATCTCAGCCTAAATCGGCGACTCATTGCGGTTTACAACACTTAGAAAACAACAATATTCACTTTAAAAACATAAAACACATATACAATACACAGTATTGGGCCACCAATACAGACCAATGCATCTCTTAACTAAAATCATAATCCAATTTCATCGTCTGTGATTACCAGTCCTTGATCATCAACTTCATCGCACCGGATTAGCCGAATACTTGTTCAAACATCCATGTCTTCAGTCTTTTTCGAAATACCATCAGCGAGGAGGCTGATCT